GGGTTGTCTTGGGCAGGTATCATAGAGTAGATCTAGGTTTGAACAGTAGGCCCCGGTCACATGAATTACTTTTTACTTGGGACTTGGGACCCACGACCCACAAGTTGTAGCTGTATATAGCTGGATCTGGTTAGATCTATAGACGGGGATCAAGGGTAAACATGCAATCTATTGTACTTGACTTCGTGTAGGCTAGTTTTCAATGTTTTCACATGATGGATACCCCCATTTATTGAAAATTCGTTGCCAGGTATCTGTCACCTTTTACGATTTTAATTTTATGTGACGAAAGGGTTCGTGCTGTTCTTTTGCTTCTTTTTTAAAAATTAATTAAGGGGGGTGGGGTATTTGATTTTGCAATGTTTGGTTTTCTCCTTCATACACACTCACGCATTCAAAGCGGCAGGAATTATATCTAGAATCTAGATATCTTTTTGCAATTGAAATCGAACTCGGTATTTTTGTTGTTTTCGGATTGAAATTATCCGAATTCCTGTCATTACCAAGACGATTGTAAAAGTAGGACCCATTGTGCACCCGTAACTCTCATTTCCTCAGGAATCAATGCAACGCTTTCTTTATTATAATACAATATTATTCTCTAGATCTAATGCGATTGAAAAGAAAAATCTATGATATAGTAGGCCTGGGGACCTTGCCAGGTGTGAGTGCGAAGGCTCGATGAGGACAAAAAGAAAGTTTATAAGCCCAATGTTAAGAAAATAGAGAAAGATCTAATCTAATATAATCTATCATGTGTAAGAACGGCCATCTGGAAAACATAACAGTATAACAGACTTAAGACACATGCATGTGTACATGTACTAGGTAAAAAATGTGTTTTTTAGGACCGATAGGGTACCATCATGTCATCAGGGCATGCAAACTTTTGAGAGAGTAGAGCAGACATGTCAACAAATCCGTACACGATGATGTACCGGTACATGTGACATGAATTGCCTCATTTGCATAGAGAGTTGATAGAGAATCATCATATCCTCTCAGTTCTTTCATTCGAACGCATCAATGCCTACAGGTCACATGTTAACTGCCCTCCCC